GAGCGGGTGCGGGTGGTTTGAATTCACGCATCAAGAATCATTAAATATCGTTGTGAGGAGTTGATTTCGATAATTTTCATTGTGCGCATCGTGCTCTTCGTGAAATTTTGGTCACGGATCATATATCAGAGTGCTGAAATTCGTACCTTGTCTAGTGGTCCATTGCAAGACTTTAAAATCCAAGTGCCGTGAGACGGAACTCTTCGCAGGGTTGCCACAGTCTGGGAAAACCTGGAAATGTCAGGGAAAAATTGATGAGCACCTTCATTTGTTTTCTACAACGGGTTAGACGTTTTGAACCATACATTTTGCCCAAAAACTGTTTCTTTTTATTTCTCTTCGACCATCTGGCATATCTTCAATTGTCAGTGAATTTCACCAAAATGTGTCAGGGAAATGTCAGGGAATTTTTTTTTTCTAGATTTGGTGGCAACCCTAACCCTGTCTTCGTCAACTTAGTTTTTCACATCATCCCCTCCAAAAACATTTTCCTCTTACAATCACTGCAGAGACACCGTTCCCGAGTGTCGCACTGAAGCGCACCTTTCACAGGAGTGCGTTTTAAATTGTTTTTAGCGCCTCCGGTCGGATCCAGCCGTGAAGGGATGGCAGTTCCTCAGACTAGTTCTTATATTACCTTTCAAATTGTCGCAAGCGTTTGCTTGAACAGTTTCTCGTTATCGCCGTCCTGACACCGGCACCGATGCGGTCTGTCAACTTAAAATGAATGCTGCTCTACTTTTTCCATCGTGCTCAAGTGAAGATAAAAGGTTATCAATTGTAGGTCAGCTGTCCACTCTACTATTACTCGTCTGTCGGCCCAACTAAAAGTCAACTTCGTTCAGATGCCGAAGCTCGCCACAATTTGCACCGTAGCCCACTGTGTTGAGAACCATCGCCGAAGGATCGAAAAGAAATTTTACTAATGGTGCAAAAATGCCCACATTCCCTCCGAGAATGAAAAGCAAACCGGAAATTTTGCCGCGGGGCATCTGAAACGTCAGATTGCGATGAAAGATCGAGTCGTGGAACTTTTTGCAATCCTGAAATTATTTGTCATTTCCTCGCATGTTACCATTATATTCTTCTACTGTGTGATTGGTCACGCTCCATGTAGAACGAAAGAATCAGCAGCCCCCAAAAAAGGCAACCTCTTGATATTTTCTCTAGACTTTTTCTTGAAAAGTTTTCCGGTGATCCTAATTAATATGTACACCAAGAGCCACATTTGCCCCTTGCTTTCTGTCGAAGGTTGCGTGAGCCACCTAGGTTCATTATCGAAGATTTTGGCCCTCATTTTGTAAAAAAAAGTTGACCAGTATAGACCAGCTATGTTTCGGAACAGTCATACCAGCACTGTACGCAACAATGCGCACAGTTGCGTTGACTCTCGAATTCTAACCATGCTCTCTTTTTCAATTTCTTCCATGGAGGGACTACATTTGGACTGCATTTTGCAATTTGGACCTATACATTCTGGCTCATCTGAAAAAACACTTATGTGCATAGAGAAACTAATTGCACATACGTTGTTTTTAAACCGGGCCGGAATTTATAGGTCCAAATCGCAAAATGCAGTCCATTTAACCCTTCGGATTGTCATGTCGGTCACGTGTTTTCAGAGTCTCTTACTTATCGAAACAGTGACGTCATGAATCTTATTTCTGATGTTAACGATGATTAATTTTTCCATATTATCTCTCTGAAAGTCATTTATTTTCCTCAAAGGTCTTTTTTAAAACGTTTGAACGGACGCCAAAATGCGCCTTATTTCTATCACACCATTTCAATGTTTGTCCGAAGTCGGATGCGCTTTCGTATCAACTAGTTTTCAGAATTGCGTCCTGAACTCTTGGCGTTGATGTGTCAGTGGCGTGACGTGAATTGCGATGTATCGATTGTTATGTCATTTAAACCTATGGTAAAGAATCGATTTTCAAGGTGTTCGCTGCGAACACCCTGTTCATCGATCCTTTTCCATAGGTTTAAATGGCATAACAATCGATACATCGCAAATCACGCCACGTCACTGTGATGTGTACATACCTAATTCGCACTTGATCGATTAGCCTTACTCTGATTTTAAAACGCCTAGGTAGCACTAAACTTCTACATTAATGCTGAGAAATGAGAAGGGTGCGAGTGGAGAGACCCTCCTCCAATAATTTCATCAACCCCACGTCATTTTGAAGGAACTGGGCCAATTATTACAGCCTGGATCCCTGAGGGGGAACCATAGGAACTTGGTATCCACCATTTGAAACCTTTTCGTTCCAATATTACGTCCAAGACTCATTAGTGGCATTAGCAATGCTAATCGTGGTCGCTTTGCCCTGCACTCTGCACAGATCCGCTCTGAGTCAATTTGAGAATTTGTATTCGGAGTTAGAAGGTCCGATCCGGTCCTAACTGCGGGAAATGACCGCTGTGAACCCTGGCGTAACGTATTAATTCGATAGTTTCCTTTTACCTTTGTTACCCTTACCATTGGCCGCGCCTTAGCGTTCCGGGCGATCCTCGCGGGCGCGGGGTATTTTCAACGGCGAGGTTGTCTGTGAAGCAGGTGTGAAGTTGACTGCGCAAGGTTTTATAGCATTTACATCTCATTTCGACTCCCTCCTTGTCGTTCCGCCATCGCCATGAGCCCTCATATTCCCCCCCGTCCTCCCTGAGGGGTGGTGTGGTGCCCAGCCGGGGGTACATAACATCTATTTCTCCTCCTATAATCAGTGATGTCAGATCGAGGCTACGAATCTCTCATTTTTCAAGATTTAGCGTTTAATCCATGTCGCTCTGTATATGCTACAGCTCAGAGAACTCCTCCGGGGTTTTCTGGCGATCTTGAATACTTGAAATTTCGGGAAAACACTGAGGAGTTAGGGAATTCTGCGAGTAGCACGCCAGCTTGGCAATTTTAGCGCGAGAGAGCGCGAATAACTTTTGAGTGCTACCATTCATGACTTGAATCTCCAGAAGTTAAAAGTGCATCCAAAGTTCCGCAAAAATAATCAAAAGGAAATGGAATTTAATGAAAGATTTGTTCGAAGGTCGGAGAATTCGAAAATTTTGGAGTTATGGAAGAACAAATAACAAAATTCAGGGAAAGTCAAAGAACTGAATAAGGAAAAAATCCAGGAAACCTTCCGGCTAGGTTCATTTTAGCCCATCGGTTTTTTTTTTTTTTTTTTTTTTTGAGCATCTCCATGATCATACAGAGGAAGTCTGAAGTTTCTGATCTTGCTGAATTTTTCAATTCCTGCGGTAACTTCTCTCCTCCAACTTGGAACTTCAAAGGATTGCATATTATTAATATTTGAAACATATTTTACGTGAATCTATTGTTAGATAAAATCCTAAGTCAAGTTCCACGACGGTATTAAGAGCTCAATGACTGCTCGTCACCTTCCGGGCAAAGTATCACAAGCGCCATGCGACGTTTCAAAAATTCCGCCGCTGTTTTATTTTTTTACAGAGAAATTGTTCAACGAAGCTGTCCGAAAATTTCACTGAATTTTCTTTGCGATGCCGATAAAATTCAGTGAAATTTTCAAACAGATTCAACCAACAATTTCTCTGTAATAAAATAAAATGGCGGCGGAAATTTTGAAGCGTCGCATGGCGCTTGTGATACTTTGCCCGGAAGGTGACGTGCTGTTGGAGAAGTGCTACGAGAAATTTTAGAAGGTTAGTGAAAGATCTGGATCCTTGTGCATGGATTTGAAGAATCTAATGGACGAGCGGGATTCGACTTCCGAGTGAAACGACGTCAAAAGTTGCTCTCCTCTCCCTCCCTCCCCCCTTTCTCCAGCTGAGGACAGATATTAAAACGTCCAACCGGCAACTCCCCCGACTTTCACTCTCTTTGACCACGTCGTATCACGGTCCCCGCGCACAGATGCCAAATCTCCAAAAATGTTAAAGATTATTCCTAGAGAGTCTCCGGTCTATTATTTATCCTGCTGAAATTCGTTATAAGAATTCTGTTCATTCGATCTGATCTAGCAGCTTTTCTCATTGCTTTGGAAATATTTATATTTCGAAAAAGTTGCGAACCAGAGCGCTTCGCACACAGGCAAATAAAATCAAAGAGCTTCTGGTTCAGGTTTAATCGGACAAGGATTCGTTTCGATGCTGGCAGTGGTTCTGATGAGTTTCTAATTTATAATTAAAATTATTTTCCAACATGAAGTCATTCTTGGCGCATTTATGATGCACCTCAGAAGATTCGGGCTTGACGAGGAGGCATGAAATTTATTCTATATAGGTCGTCAACAAAATAATTTTATGCAGGAAGATAGGAAATGTGCCTATCATAGTCTATGAATATCATAATATGTAGTGGAATTAGTACGTCCCTTTGCAGGCACATGTTGCCGAACTTACTCAATTTTAAAAAAAAATCCGGAAAGTCCAATCGAAACTAGCTTGTTCATTATGATGCACCTCAGAAGATTCGGGCTTGAAGAGGAGGCATAAAATTTATTCTATATAGGTCGTCAACAAAATAATTTTATGCAGGAAGATAGGAAATGTGCCTATCATAGTCTATGAATATCATAATATCTAGTGGAATTAGTACGTCCCTTTGCAGGCACATGCTGTCGAACTTACTCAATTTTAAAAAAAAATCCGCAAAGTCCAATTGAAACTAGCTTGCTCATACAAACTAATGCCATTCATTCATGCATGCTAGGGAAGAGGAGTGAGAACCTTGAAAACTGCTTCAGAGTCTGTCTTAGGACAAATTCTCTGCTGAGTACATTTAAGGGCTTCAATTTTAATTTGGGGACATTTCAATAATTTCTGCAACAAATACTGAATTTGAGAAAATACTGTCTATACACACAGCCAATGCACCTTTACGCTTATGCTGTCTGTCTCCAACTTATGATTCTATGAAGCTCAATTACTTTCCTCTTCTTGCCTTTTTATGTCAGGACTCTTTTCAGTTTCTTTCCATGAATTTTGTTTTGACCATCTTTGTTTTTTCTATGTTTCAGAAAAAGCTTTTCAAGTGCCACCTTTATGCGAGCTCGCAGCATTTTGTGTAGCATCTCATATCCCATTTGAATTAGTAGAACAAGTATATCCCCCTGTTCCTGAACAACTTCAACTCCGAATAGCCTTTTGGAGCTTCCCAGACAATGAAGAGGATATCAGGCTCTACTCTTGTCTGGCCAATTCTAGTGCTGATGAATTTCAGCGAGGGGAGCAGTTGTTCAAGGCAAAGGCAGTCAAAGATCCCCTTCAGATAGGTGTGTTATCAATTTTCATTTTCGTCTATGGTCTTTCAAGTCCATGAAATTTTCGGCCAGAAAATCGCGTAAAAGCCCCAGCAAATCAACTGAGAAAACTTAAGGGAGGTTGATATCCTCATCTTGATGATCTTGAAGTGCCATAGATATGTTGAAAAAGGTAATGTAGCAAATGAGTGGAAGGTACTTCAAGAGAAAATGGGGGATGTGAGAAAATACCTCCACAAGTAGGGTAGTTCATAGTGTTTTTCCATGTAATAACACATGGATATGTCAGTAAATGACTCTCGAATTTATTTCAAAGTTTTAGATGAAAAGTAATACTAGTCACACACTTACAGAAATTAGGGTATTTATTATTTTTTTTAATTGTTATTGAAAAGAGACAGATTTTTATTTCACACTCCTCATTTCTCAAAAACAAAAGTTGAGATATTAGTCGACTTTACAAAAATAATATGCAATAATTGCGACTCAGGCCATGCTTTAATGAAAAAACAATGTGCAAAAGGATGTTAATATATTTATAATTTTACCTTAACATGGTGGAACTCGCAAACGTTTCGACCAACACTTTGGTCTTCATCAGTGCAAAAGAAAGCATAGACAAGAATAAAGAACACTGGCAAGATGAATAATAACAAAGAAAAAGGGAAAAGCATTGCAAAATTCCTACATGGTGTATGGAAAAAACAAAAAGGTCTACAGGACAAAGAGAGCAAGACAAGATGCGAAGTAAAACAGCAATAAGCTCGAACAGCTGCTAAATCGAAACGTTTGCGTGTCCACCATGTTAAGGTAAAATTTTAAATATATTAACATCCTCTTGCACATTGTTTTTTATTAAAGCATGACCCGAGTCGCAATTATTGCATATTATTTTTGTGAAGTCGGCTAATAGCTCAACTTTTGTTTTCGCATTATGAGTAGCCGAAAACCAAAAAATCTTGCTCCTCATTTCTTTGAGCAGAATTCAAATTTAAGATAAATCCCTGGCCAAGTCCCGTTTCTTAAATGTTGCTTAGAATCAAAGGTAAATAGAACGCAGCAAAATCTTCGAACATGAAGACCTGCATCCAACCTGTACGAAATTTTAAATTCGAGATTTGACTGTTTTGTAGAGAAGTGAAAAATTTTGAGGGAGCTTTTTATTTTTATTCCTAATCCAGTTTGATATCTTTGTATTCACTTATTTTACTGTGGAACATTTTTAAAATTTGTCCCCTGTTATTTTTTAGGATTTCATTTGAGTGCATCTGTGCACACTCACAATGCATCCCAGATCAAATACCAGTTTGTTGTTGCGATCACATTCGACCGCCGTCGTATTACCTCGTGCACTTGTACATGCAACTCATCGGCATACTGGTGCTCTCATATCGTAGCAGTATGTTTACATCGTATACATTGGGTAAGCAATCACTGTACTTCATAGCCTGTTAATAATTCATAATGACTCCTTGTGGCTATACTTGACAGTGGATGAAAAACATATTCCTAATTTTTCAGTGGTAACAAAATTCCCATAGTTTTTTTCACCTAGTAGGTACCTATGTAATTGTTTGTGTATGAAATATTGTAGTTTCTTTGTTTTCAATTTTTTTTTATTGATACAGCAGACCCAAATCTTCTGTTATAGCTTGTTCTTTGTCGTCATAATTGTAATGGTATTACATACAATTTATTCGGCTCCAAAACATCTAATGGCCATAAGGCATACAAAATTAGTTTTAACATACAATTTTAATGTTGAAGCGTCAGTAAAGGAAGATGCATACATTTTGGGAGTTTAAGGGAACAGAAAACTAAGGATGTCAGGGAAAGCATGATAAGTAATCCCATCTTTCTTTAATAGTTTATGTTGATTTTATCTTTCAGCCAAATCAAGTAACTCTACGAGCACCAGTTAGTGAAAGTTTATCCCGACTTCAGAGGGATCAGTTACAGAAATTTGCACAATATCTCATTAGTGAATTACCTCAACAAATCCTTCCTACTGCTCAAAGGATATTAGATGAATTACTGTCACCACATCCTTCGGTGATAAATTCGGTGAGTCATTTTTTTTTGCTCCTTTGCACACAATCTTCAACTATGGATGGGGCTCAAATACAAAGTTTGCAGCATTTTTATGCTCTCAGCATTTTATATTTAAACCTCTATTTTCCAGTTTTAAGTTATACTGAGGGGAGATACAGAACATAGTTTAAAGATGGTCAAATTGAATGTCAAAAAGATTTAATGGAAGCTCGGATCTTGAGTCATTTTCAAATTGACTCATACGCAATGGTTTCAAGTGCCAGCAACCTCCAACGGATATAGTGAAGAATTTGTTTGTTTACTAATTATATTTTCCTAACCTAATAGAATGTATCGGCAACATGCTTTTTAGCTGCAGTCCATTTTCATTCACAGAGAAGTCTCTCAAACATAGGCATGTAACGGAAGTTGAGGCACCTCTGAACTCCTCATTTCCTGATAATTCTCAGCCGAAAAAATTCCTGTTGTCAGTGGATTGTAAAGCATAGTTATATTTGATCATCTGATCATTATCTCATAAGAGTAGAATTTATTTGAGGCAGCAAGAGCTTTAGCCAACCTTCTCTGATTGACAACTTTTTTTGAGCAATACATTTTCTCCATGTTAAGGAAAGCTCAAAGAAACTGTTCAAAAAAAAAAAGAAAATTGATAAAAACATTGCATGAAATTACTCTAATTTAGGTCAATTTGCTTCATTCCTTAATTGCTAAAGATTCAAAGAGATTCTAGTGTAATTTGTGAGTTTAAACTCAAACGGTCAAATGTTAGCCTCTTTATAATTGCTCAATAAACTAAATATGAATGGCTGTTCATGGCTCATTTACCTGAATGTTGCATTACTCAGTTGAAACTTTGGAGAAAAAACTGTACAATTCACATACGCTATCATTTCCGTTTTGATTTCTTTACATCAATTCACTGTTCATGTAGTTAATATCAGTTCTGTAGTGATTATAACATCGCATAATTAATGTACAATTGTTTTGGACTGCAGGTCAGCGGTGCCCCAGACCCGACAGCCGGAGCATCAGCAAACGAACAAACAGCGTGGTACCTTGATGAAAAAACACTTCACGATAATATAAATAAAATCTTAATTAAATTTTGTGTTCCGGCACCTATAGTATTTAGGTAAGTACCCTCTCCATCCGTAATTTGATTCATTCATACTAAAGAGGTCAAAGTCAATCGAGAGACACCTGTCTGAGGAACGGACTAAATTAAAGTGTCGAAGACCACATTAGGATCGCTGAGGGTCAAAAATCACCAAAATATTTCAAATTAGGCTACCAGCATGATTCTTGGTGAAAATGTAGTTTAAGGTACAAAAGTCCATCAGGACCCAAGCTGGATCTCCCATGGTTCTCTGTATTTTGGCAATTTTAGCCTTTTTCTTAAAAAAATCCTGGTAAAGTGGGAAAAAATTTTGATCTCTCATCAGGGAAAAATCAGAGAATGAGCATCATCGTCAATTCTGGACAATATAATTAAATTTCAGGATTGAAGCTCTAGAGCTTTTACTGCTTTTTAAATAAAGTAATAATAAAATAAATTAATGGTACCAACAAAATGCGTATTGTTCACATTTAAGAAATCATTTTTTTCTATTTTCTTTTCCTGATTATTATTCCACTAACCAAACTTTTTATTTCACCATCATTAAGAATAATTAATGTTTTTCTCTTCTTTTTCAAATTTCAGTGATGTAAATTATTTATCAAATACTGCTCCTCCTGCCGCATCAGAATGGACGAGTTTACTGCGCCCATTGAGAGGGCGAGAGCCGGAGGGCATGTGGAACTTACTATCCATTGTACGAGAAATGTTCAAGCGCAACGATTGCAATGCACTCCCATTGTTAGAAATAATCACCGAAGAGTGTGTGGCAATCGAACAGGTATATTTTTCTATATCAAAGATTTTTTTTTTCTCATCGTGCTCGTATTATTTGCTGGTCTCAGCTTTTTGAAACTGCTAAAGCGGACAGCGGACACTTCTATGGAAGGCTCACACTTACGAGACAGCAATTTTTGTCGATTATCATTGTTTTTGTACCAAAAGGAGGTGATATCTCTTTTAATTCACAATGTGGGAATTTAGATTCAGTTTGATGATCAATGTAATTGTTGACTTGAGAGATAAATCGATGGCCAAAGTGTGCAATCATTTATTTCTGCTCCTATTTTATTTTTTTGAAGAGAAACAAGTCAACTATATAGCTTGAAATTTCCACAGAATATTCTGCTAATAGGGAAAAAAATCAAGGAAGCTTTCAAGAACTTAAGTTGTTTAGTTTTTCAAAGAAAAAATAAGGGATGACCGGAAGTTTATAATGTCGCATAAAGAGGTACGTATTTTTGCATCTGAGCCATAGAAATGAAAAATTTGCTTTATCATTTTTTCAAATCCTTTTTATAAAATTAGGGGCTGAATTGAGTATCCTCAAGGAGGTGTCTCAAAAGTCTCTCCTTTTTTAAGGTTGAAAACTTCTTATAATAAGGAAATTAGGAGTTCAAATTCTGAAATACTTGGCATTGGCACAGTATGTAGTGACATAAAAACAATAGTATATGCCTCTATGCTCAAATTTTTTGTGCAGCTCACCAGGTAAATTTATGAAATGTTTATCAAAAATGAAACTTACAAACCACGTATCAAGTTGGTGGCGTTTTAAAATCTCGCCTCCCATTTAATTTCTCTAAAGGAGAGCAAATCAACATCTGTCCTTGAAATTCTCTGAGAATATTTTTTTGTATGGAGAAGGAAAATCTTAAAAGTGTTTATAAATTGACATTGAGTAGTTTTCTGTTTCAAAAGTAAAGTATGACATGAAGTTCGCAACATGGTCTGAGAGTTTGACCTTCGTTATGGTCTTTGGCTCTTAAAATCATAGAATACAAAGAAATCACAAAAAATTGCCTCCATACACCTGTAATTCTCTCTAGTGTTCATAAAAATTCTTCAAAAAATTTGTTTTCCCTAATTAATTTTTTTACTGCCGGGTAGAATAAATTTCTTCTATTTGGTACTCTGTCCATGTGGCATTGAATTTTACCACTGGTAAGCGAAAAGACTTACAATTTTCTTGTATCAAATTCAAGTGTATCCTTAGCGAATTTGTCCTTCCATTAATTTGTACCCGGGCTTCTTTTGGGCTGCTATTAATCTTTGCTCTTGTAACATGTTGCTTTGTTTTTTCTAGATTCTTGTCTGGTGGTTCAGCACAAAAGTTGCACTTCAAGGAGGAAGTTTGTCAAGCGGTGGCCATGGCGGAGGAAAACACTCAAGCATGAACAGCAACTCACATTCAATGCAGCATGCGTGTGCTTCCCTTTGCGATGAAATCGTCATTCTTTGGCGGCTAGCAGCTCTCAATCCTGGGATCTCACCAACAGAGCGTTCTCTCCTTCAAGCTCAGTTCAAGCAGTGGCATATTAAAGCTCTAGATAAGGTGATGAAGAACAAAATGCTCAACACTTCAAATTCTAAGTCAGGTTCATCGCACAACAACTGGAGAGTGGACAGTGAAGTTTTTAGCGGATTCAAACCCGCTGTCGAAGCTTGTTTCCTTGACTGGGAAGATTATCAGATTCCCGGTATTACGTATAATGACGTAAGCTGTGGCGGAGCTTGGCTGTACACCACTCAGCCATTCACCGCTTGTTTCAAACATAGTGAATCAGCTTCTCGAACAGATCATATCGTTTTCAATCCTGTTAGCTCATCGCAGATAGTTTTACACTGTGATCACCACCCTCGTCACCAGCATGATTCTCGAGGAAATCACCACCATCATCACGGCTTCCATGTGCGGCCGAGTCGTTCGCAGAAACAACCACTGCCTGAAAGCTTCCCGTACTGCGGAACTTCCAGAACTGATATGTCCCCTTCAGATTTGATTTCCTACGACCATCCATTGAGCGTGACTCAAGGATTGAGGCTCATGTCACGTATGAATGATCTCGCCAATCTTACAAATGTAGCTGGAATTAATAACTCAAACGATGGAGATAATAGAAGCTCAGTCAGTAGTGAAGGATTTTGTGAGAATAATGGACCAGATACGCCTCCACCAGTCGATGCATCAGATTCGCAAGACGGAGGTGGAAGTGACTCATCATCCAGCTCAGCTCACCTTCGCCACGCCAAATCCAAGAACATATCCTCCTCATCTACTTCAAATAATCGCAGTGGTGATGAAAGTGATTACTCTATGAAAAACATTCAACTGCCCAGCAGCTCAAAAGATACCCCATCTACTTCTAAAACCGACGATCAATCTTTGAAGAAAGATGATGTTTTTATCGAAACTACCCAACCATCAACAACAGCCCCTGTCGTAACAGCCACTACATCAAATGCAACCCCTGAAAATGGTGACAAAAGGCGGCTCTCCAAAGATGACAGCATCTCTTCTTCCAATTCGGACTCACAACAATCTAACGAGAACGATTACGCAATGTACTTATATGATCCTAAGTCATATGACACCGCCAAGGCAACTACTTCAGCTAGTAAAAAGGATGCTAAGCCAGAAATCTCTGAAACTGCATTTACAAACCTGAAACTTCCAACAGATCCATGGGATATTCTTTTCGCCAGAGCTGAAGGATTGCACGCACACGGTCATGCTGCAGAAGCATGTATCCTAGGTGTTCGACTAGCAGAGCAGCTCCTAACAAACCCGCCTGATTTAATGATAGAATTACCACCCACACAAACGAAAGGGAAACGTAAGAAGGTCAATCCGATTTCTCATCAGTTGAGCATGTTAGCCTCTGACACGTTGGCCAAATGCGCATTTCTTTGCTCAGTCTTAGCTGAAAATCATGAACACTTTCATCTTGCATTTAAAGTTGGTCTGTTTGGATTAGAAATGCCGCGACCGCCGGCAACAACCAAACCCCTCGAAGTGAAGATGGCACATCAAGAATCAGAACTGGTCGGTCTTCTCAAAAGAATACCGCTAGGCCAGAGTGAATTAGACATAATCAGAGACAGGGCACAAAAGCTGCAAAGCGGCGTGTTAAAAAGCCGTGGTGAAGCTCTTCTACCCCTCATGTTAGCCACCTTTATCATAGAAACCCTTGTCATTTCTGGACCAACTCGGCAGTTCAGTCGAAATTTACGTTTACCGACCGATGAAAATCTAGGTTTTGAAGCTGCAGTAGCCGCAATTGGCCTTAAAGCAAACGTCTCTGAGGCGGACCATCCTTTGCTTTGCGAAGGAACTCGAAGGCAGAGAGGTGAGCTTGCAATTACTTTACTGACTTATTACAAAGACGACCAAAACAAATTAGCCCGAATTATGGACAAATTGCTCGATCGTGAAGTTCATCAATTGATCAAAACGCCTGTGCCCAGTTGGTACTATTCGAACAATCCCACTGCAAGATCCATGTCCAGCCGCTCGAGGCACGAATCGACCAGAGCTTCAAATCCAGCCAACTTTGCTTTGAACGAAGTGAACCATCTACTCGACAGCAACCTCGCATCTCATGACTGTCAGCCAGGATTCAGTGGGAACATGAACAGCCGTCGTCACAGTCTGACCAGCGGCGACTTGGACATGAACCTAGAACTTGGCCTCGGTTCCCTAACTCTGAATGGTCCTGCACCAGGAATCGCATGTAGCCCTCAAGCTGTGCCTTGTGTAACTCCAGCTGTTCCGACCACACCCACCACCACCACTACAACCCGCTCGAAAGAAATGAGGTGCGTATTTTCACCCTTTTTCGAATTGTCTGCCATTGACCTAGTTGAAATTAAAATCACCCCGTATAACTTGCTGAGATCTCAGAATGCCTATATCTCTCTTAATGATGCTGGATAGGATGCCTACCATCAGTAGGAACCAGAAAATGTCAGGAAGTGCAATGTCATCAGGAAATTATGAGTGCTTCAAGCATTTTTCAAACATTTGAGTCAAGTCATTGAATATTTTGATCAGTTAAATCGGAGGAGTGCCACTTTATTTCTGTAAAAAAATCAGCAAATTTCATTTGAATTACAGGAAAATCCAAAATGAAATTTTAGTAGACGCCCCGTCAGAAGATTGTCGCAATCAAGACATAACCGCTTTCAGTTTTTACTGGATCGTAATGCTCGTTGATCAGGAGGCCTCCTTTTGTAACACAGCTGTACCAGTTTAATGATCCCAATAATCAGTAGCTTTGAGTAGTAGAGGTAACTTCAGAAGTTTGTAAAAAAAAAAAATTGTGTATACCTCATGAGGTTATGATGAAAAGAGGAAACATTTTTAAACGTCTTAAAGTCATCTTTCTACAGAGCATGTCGAGAAAGTGCCCAGTGCCACTTTTTGGGGGATTTTAAAGATTTTATTCAAATGTGGCCTACACAAAACCCTATGATGAGGCAATCCTCTAATGGAAGTTTTAGCTTGAGTTCAAATCTTGTCTTGACAGTACAGCATTGCAGAGTTTAAACTTTTTACTACTGAAGAATGCTAATATTTTGAAGTTCCTTGGTTGGAAAAACAACAACTTTTGTTGATCCTGTTTTATTTTCTGAAGCACAGTATCATGAGTATGTGGTTGTCCCTCAGAATACAGAAAGGAATCGAATAAAGTTGTTTTCTCATCCAAGGAACTTCGAAATATTAGTATTTTTCAATTGTAAAGAAATATAAACTTTGCAAAGCTGTATTGCCAAAATGAGCTTTACTTGTACTCACTCTAAGATGTTTACCGGAGGATTGTCCCATCACGAGGTTACATGTACGCCACATTTGAAGGAAATCCCTGAGTTCCCTCAAAAAGGCCCTTTTTTGACCGACCCTTTACAGTCGAAAATACATTGAGTAAATAACTGAAGTTAAGGCAACCACATATTATCTGAAGCTAAGGAATCGATTTAAAATTTCGTAAATATTTTTCTATGACTGGCATAATTGTGACCCTTTATTTTTATTTTCTCAATATCAGGTTCAAAGGAAAACGGGCCTACCCCTCAATACCGAATCAACCCTCCGAGGCAGGAGCTCACTTCACTCTTGAACTGGCGAAAAGTATTTTGCTCAAAGCGGGCGGCAACTCCTCTACTTCCTTGTTCACGCAAGCTCCATCATCGCACCCTCATTTGGGACCCCATCGTGCGCTCCAAATGTGCGCCTTTCAACTTGGTCTATACGGTCTAGGTCTTCACAATTGCGTTTCGCCAAATTGGCTGTCACGAACGTACTCATCTCATGTCTCATGGCTATCAGGTATATTCACAAGTTTAATTTCTAATGTTACATTATTAGTATTACTTTTCTTCATATTGCTCATAATGAGACAGAATTGACAGAATAGCTGTGAAAATCTTACAGCAGCATTATCAGCATTTCCGCTAATTTGTCATTCCGTAGACGGAGGAATGTAACTACATCTCAATGTTTTATGAGACCATACTTTATAAAACCAAAATTTATGAGAGTGAATAAAAAAAATCAATCATTTTTTTTTTAAAAAAAAGAATATTCTTACTGAGTAAGAAGACCTATATTTTAGTAGCAGTTTCTCTGTAAAGTCATGTGCAATCATTTTCTCAGTTAAGCTAAAGAATTCTTGCAGCCATCCGAACGCACTTTTTTCACCTAAATCTGTCTCCTTTGTTGTTACTTCCCAGGGCAAGCGATTGAAATAGGTGCACCAGCCATCATGTTCCTGATTGATACATGGGAAGGCCATTTGACACCAACAGAAGCAGTTAGTATTGCCGATAGAGCATCTCGAAATATTGATGCCAACGTTGTTCGTGCTGCAGCTGAATTGGCCTTATCTTGTCTTCCACATTCTCCAGCCCTCAGTCCAGCTGAAATCCATCGTGCGGTTCTCCAGGTAATTCTTTCCTAAAACTAGCTCTGGTAGCCGTATGAATTTACTTCAGATCTTACCTACAGAAGTCTTTTGACTGCTTGAGGAATACTGTATTTAAAATTCTATCAATCAAATCAGGTTACAATCTAATCTAATGTATGATTTCACGAATTTTTATGACTGAACCTATTTTGGAAGCTTTGTTCTGTAAAACAATTTGTAAAGAAACCAGTTTTATGAATGAGAATGTTTGTTTGTCCTTTCAGTGCAAAGAACAAAGCAAAGCAGCTCTGGAAGCAGCCTGTCTCACTGTTGAAAATGCCGGCAAGGGAGGTGGAGTATATCCTGAGGTATTGTTTACTGTAGCGCGGCACTGGTATGAATTGTACTTGGTGAGTCTAAAATTTATCTGTCGGAAATTTCAATTCGTAACACTCTCTTTTCACCACTGAACAACATCCATTTGCAGTTTCTTGTTTTTTTTAAATGATAAAAAGTGATAAATATCGTAGTCAAGATCCCTAGTGTGATAATTATCTTACTGATTTTATATGAATTCCATCAATTATTGTAAAAGGCCGCACAATGTATATCACATTGTGTGCTTTTCCGGAAGGAGTCAGGAATATTGCTTATGTCCAGACTTGCAAACCCACTTATTTAGATTTTCGTGGAGTAAAGAAAGCTGTGCAACATCTGTTTTGCTGAAAATTGTATCAAATACTCTTTTTGCTAATGGATGAACATCCAAGTCATTTCGCTCAATATAACTTAATCGTTTTTTGTCTTATAATAAAGTTGTTTGCCATCACAGATGAAATAATGTCTTGCGCATTGTTTCCCGCATCAAATTTTAGGATGAGGAATTTCAAATGGAAAAGTAAAGTCTGAAGTGTTTTTATCACAAATATATTCAAGTACAATATATTCAACAATACAATATATTCTTAGCAAAATATGACACTCTCTCACACTTGAAGCAGCAATAGTTACTAATTTGCAATCTGAAATGTTTTCTGAATAAGTCTTGAAATCACGTTTGCAAAGTAGCGAAGATTAGATGGGATGAAAATTGATCATCATAACCTTTTTGCGGTTGGCTCATAGAGTCCCCGCCAAATAAATTAACGCACTTTTAGACTGGGACAGAAGATCCGTCATCTTGATCCTTTCATCTACTTTCAGTGCTAAACTGACGTCACACATTCTTCTGTCGCAGTCAAAAAGTACTTAAACTTATTTGATGTCGACTAAATTTATACTGTAAACTCTCATAGACTGTGATAAAATCTTTGAGTTCCATTCCTTCATCAACCTGTATCCGTTGTTGCAGCAAACTTTGAAGGATAAGCGCTCCATGTCACATGAACCTGAGGTTTTAGAAGAGGCCGCTCAAGATCCGATGGAACATATGAACCAAGCGCAAAACCCCATGGTCCACCACTCGCCCCCACCTCCACCACCTCCTCCTCCAATACAGCCTGCGTACTACCCTGTGGAACAGCTCTCCCCTTTCACTGTGGCCACTCCATACGGACTCACAGCATTCCAACCTGTTCAGTACGTACGGCACACTCGGCACACGCATCATCCTCACATGGCCATGCGACCTCCACCTGCAGCCATCTACGTTCCACCGACAGCTATTACGTACCGTCCCCATGCGGCTAACCAGCCTGTTGCCTCTGGCTGTATCCCTGTCACATCCGTCGGCCAGTCAGCTCCGCCACTTCAATACTTTGTTCCCTCGGGTCACCATATTTTGCCACCGTCTTTACCTCAGGTATGTCATTGGGTTTCACTCGATTAATTTGTGATATATCTCGATTATCAGAGATCGGAGGAAGAAGCTGCCCCAGCAGGGCTACCACACCTACAAGGGCAAATCTCCCCTGCAATACCTGCCAAGTGCCAACCTATGAAATAGACGTATATGACAATTTGTCTTCCAAGTCAAATCATGGAAGGGGAAGGAACAAGCTTCCTTTGTTACCTGATTTTTGTTCTCTCAAAAAAGCCCTGGTTTTTCACACCGTTTGCTAAATTTTAACCTGCTGGCTAGTTTGGTAATTGTTAATTAATCTGCAATATTGTTATGCAGGAAAAAAATTTAGGACAAATTAAGAATATGACACATATTACTCATTAGTAATATCTTATTTTTATGAAATCGTAATTTCTGTAAAATTAATTTTAATACCGCTTAAGGATAATATTTTTTCTATTTTTCTGAGCTGTTCAATGAGTAGACTTTGATTATTGGAATTTTCACTGTTGTTCGATATGCATTTAAGAAGAAGTATTCCCTGTGAGGTGATTCTCTATTCTTTTTTTCGAGGGGGGGGGGGGGTGAGGGAGGAAGGGAGATGTAATAAGTGCTACACTCAGACTGCATCATTGTACACAATTGTTGATCACAGTGAAGCAAAACAGCTGTTAGTTCTCTCATTTGCTTGGAATAGAGTAGATATGCTTTTTTTAATTGCCTAGAAAATTAATTTAAAATATTTTCCTTTTCCTTTAGTTTGAACCGCAACCAGTGACAAATAGCTCTCCCCAGAGTATGATGATGCTCACTTCTGCCAATGGTCAGCCACCTAACCAGCAAATGGTTCCGCAGCCACAGCTCAAGCCTCAACGAGTAAGTTTTTTCTTATTCTAGCAGACAATTGGCCTAACTCCATAAAAGTAGCCTTTTTTATTACATTTAGTGTTAATTTTAAAGGTATTTTGATAAAAACAATGAAAATATCAGGGCCGTGCAAATGGTAAGATTTGAATAAAAAAAGAATTCGCAGTCCATTGTTTTCTTTTTTCGAGTAAAAATACAAATAATTTAAAATTGAGGCACTCTTAATCTCTTAGCCTTTTTTTTTCTTTTTTTTTATTTATCTAGTGACTCCTTTATGTCGCAGAAAACATTGATCTAGTACTATAAGTATTTTTTTCATGTATTCCTCCAGTATCAAAGACTAAGCTTTTATTTATTGTTTCAGTTTTCCCAAACACAATTACGATACTTGTTATCCGCTTACCGTGTTGGAATGCTCGCTCTTGAGACCCTCTCCAGAAGGGTTCATGATGATAGACCAATCAGCAAATATGCTAGGAACCCTCCTTATAGTGAAGATATCAAATGGCTTTTCAACGTTTCTACTGAATTGGGTAAGTGGTGTGTCCATGAATGAGAAGAATTTTTTTCAGTTCCTAAAATCTCTTAACCTTTGTCATTTTTATCTCAATGTCTCAATAGTTAACCAGTCTAAGGTAAACTCATTATCAAATATCATAACCATGATTGTGCCCATCTTTGTTCTACTTTTGAGACTAAATTTTATTTTTATGAGTTTTCACAGAATATAAAAGTTTAACTCTCAGCTTCCTGCAACTACCATATTGATGTAAAAACTGTAATGTATCTTAGAATTGCTGTTTCAGAATGATACTTTGCTATCTCAGTGTGAGACTTTGCTGATTCAGTATGAAACTATCTTGCAGTCGCTGTGCAACTTTAAGTTGCAAGTGCACTTTTAACTGCTTAAAGCATTTGGGTATTAATTTTTACCTCACATCACCATCAAGAAGTGAAAGCTGTATGCCCCTCCTGTATTTGATGAAGCTAGACATTTACAAAATTTTAGTACAGTGATCAAGCTAGACATTTACAAAATTTTAGTATAGTGATCCGACTTACTAATATCGATCCTATGTTCATGGTCATTTGAACAATAATCCTTTATGTCATCGTTAAGTACTTAAATTGTATTGCCAAAAGTTTTATTATCATTAATGTGTTCTTTTCATAATACACATATTTTTATTCTCTTACTATAATTCCAGGATCTCAGTATGTGCTAAAATTCTGCTTCTCTGCAGTCAACAGTGTTGTTAGTCCATTCATTTTGCATGAAGTAGCTTTCGAAGCTGCTCAGTATTTGTCACGGAACAATCATGCGTTGTACATTCAGCATTTACGATCAACTCTAGCACCTCTTATGCAGAAATGTCAGCAAATGTAAGTTAATTTTCGAACCTTGGTTGCTGTTGATTTTAAAGCTTTTTTCTTTTTATGGTAATGACTTTTGGCGTCTAAGGGCTCTTGAATCTCTGAATTCAGCCATGTCATCAAACTTCTTGAGGTTATCACATTACTTTTCCCTTGAAAAACTAACAGTAACCGGGTGAGTAATTATAGCTGAGGGGCTGCCCAAAAATCACGTCACCCAATTAGGGAAGGAGGAGGGTCTAGCAGTAGGTGATGGGGAAGGAAGGAGGAGTCAAGCCAAGGATTGCTTGCTTCAAATATTTTCGAGCTAAAAATTGGTTTTTAGTATTTTATTTTTACTCAATTTTTATGATTTTTCTACGAATAATCCCACTTTCGCTCAAAGCAATAGTTTGCGTTGTTTAATTTTTCAGCTAGTAATATATTGTGACTTTAATTCTTTTCCTCTTTACTAGAACACAACATATATTTGGACTGCATTTTGCAATTTGGAGCTATAACTTTTGGCTCATCTGAAAAAACACTTTTGAGCATTGGGAAACCAATGGCACATTCGTTGTTTTTAAACCGGGCCAGAATTTATAGTTCCTAATTGCAAAATGCAGTCCATTTAATACTCAACAAAAGAAATTAACCATGTTCTGAACGCTGCAGAATATATCCACTGATTTTTATCGATATTCTGTGTTCTCCTTTCAAGGGGGGGGGGGGGGGGTGTCAAAAAATTGAAAAAAATGGGGGATGTAATTTACAGATGGCCTGACAAAAAAGAAGTTGAAAATTACATTATATATTTATTGCTTGTTTCATGGACAAAGGATTTCTTTTAAATATTTTGTTTCCTCTCCTCTAATTTATTTATCTTCATGGTAGGTATATACAATGTATGCATCAGCAGCTGTATCACTTGGGGCCGAATGAGTATGAAGACTTCATCAATATCATCCTCACGGCACGAGCAGCTTTCCAAATCACACCTGATGCTAGCATGCAGTTTAAAGAATGGCTTCAGTCAATTCGCAGGTGAGTACCTTTTTCTCCTTCAAAAGCTGGGTCGTCAATTTATCTAAATTCAACAAAAAAGATCCAAGTTTGAAAAAGATAAAAGAGATCTAAAGCTCTCTTTCCTCCTTCAAATTAAATAAAGAACTTTCAATTATGAACTTTGAGTCCATCTTTGGAATATTATAAATTGTCAGTGAGCCTTAATTTTTTGACAGGAAAATGAAGTGTGCATGTTGAGCCTAAGATCTCATTAGAACTCATTTTTCGCAAAGATATGATGAAGTTTTATTTTTTAATTTCAATCCATTTGCATTTCGATCAATTAATGAGCACCATACCGGCCAAGAAACAGAATTACAGCAGAACGTCAACATAACAACCTTCGATTTAAGCGTATTGCAATGCCATAACAACCTCGATTTAACAACGATTGTTGCCAGTCCACTGAAATTTTTTCATCGAGGTTTTACCACAGTACTATTGATTTCTTTATATCAATTGTGAGATCAATATTTCCAAATTATAGGAAAGGAGTGGAACAGCGGACCGTTGATAGAGAGTACCAGTTCCGTCTGTGTTTATTGCCAATTCACAGCATTTGAAATTGTGGAGGACATTTAAAAAGCTTTGAGGACAAGGCGCATCATGCAAATTCTGTGAAAAATTCACTCCCTAATTCCAATTTTTAAGCATCAAGAAGTCACTTTGGACTTTCTTTCCGCCATAAAGATCCATTTAATTTCAAAACTCCGTATATTTCTCAAAATAGGAAAAACTACACTTACTCGTCTTGTCCTCCAGGCCCCTCATTTGTGGTGTATTTTGTTGCCACAAGAGAAGAAGTGCCAAGACATCTTGTAGCAAACATGTAAACCTTTTAAATGAGCTTCATCACACCTTCTTGCTTGTTATTTTCAGATCTAAATCCTGTAAAAAAGAATTATGGACACAACTTAACGCTGCTCTGATGACTAGCGGGAAATGACAGTGGTGTGATGTCAGCGTGCAGTTCCCCTCACCTGCGCTCTCATCACCGATGGCTAATTGGGGTTTTACCACTCCGACCCCAAATTGGTAAAATACTTTAGCCATCTCAATTCGTCTAGGTCAAATTTTACTCAACGACTGCTCTCTTCCTCCTATCTACTATGAATAAACGAGAAATCTCAATCTCTCCTCTTTGTTCTTAAATGTATATTCTCTCCAGTTTCCTCCTTCACTTCCTCTTGGTTTTTAAATTCATTTTTCAGTCAAAAACGCATGCCGATATAGATTTTATTCTTGTTTTCTTATTTATGAAACTTTTTTTTTCCTTTCGTCAAATTTGTTTTTTTTTATTCTAATTTTATTCAATTTTATTTTAGAAAAGATTATATATATATTTTTGTCTTATAAAGAGAGAAAGTTGAAAGTAGATATTTTATTATAGTCAATTTATAGTTAAATTTTTTACATCCTGTGTTTTATTTATTTCTTTATTTTATCTTATTTTTATTTTGTAATCTATGCTTTTTTTTTCCCATTGTCTTTTTTCCCCTTTTATTTTCTTTAAATCGAGTCATTTTCTAATCATTTAGTGAATTTTGTCAAATCATTGTTCCCTTAGTGTTTGTGGCATTCAGTCCAGCTTGAAAAGAGGTTTACTTAACCATGTATTCTGTAATCGACAAGGAGCCTCTACTTAACTAGGAGGTAAAGCCTATCAAGAGTCGAATTTCTGCTGGTGGATTTGATTGAGTTTTTTACGTACTGCCAACTTCCTTTACAACAAAACAAAATTTTCTCCAGCCGACAGTGCGCCTGTAACAATTGCTTTTCATGCTGGGCACAATGATGACCACATTCAAAATTGAATCTCTCGGTTCGAAAAAGACCCATCTCGAAAAAATGGAATTTTCCAAGAGATGATAAAAACTGCACAACAGTCAGAAAAGGTGTATTTCTACGCAAAAAAAATGAACATCGTAAAAAAGCCAAGTTGAGTCGTTTTTAAACTAAGAGATTCAATTCTAGGATCAAACTCTGAAAAGTGGATGGTTGCAAACGTTAGCCAAAATTCATGAAGGACCTGAGTTTACTTCTTGATTTCAGCAGAGCATTTTTCTCCTTCGAGTTTCAACCCTGCCCATCTGGTCGAAAAAGTTGACCAAATTCTCTGGCAGAAATTCACCTCACAAGGCTCTTTGCCAGCCTTTATTCAAGCTTCTTGTCCATCAGTCAGTATTCATAAAAAAAAAAATCATCAGCGTTAAAGTTACTTAGGGTATATTTCATGCATGATTGACTTTTTCACGTAACTTTTTAACAGCAATGTCTGTAAATTTCTAGTCTCTGCTCTGTGAGTATTTTATTGATTGGTCCACTCTATTTTCTTCTTTCTAGAAGGGGGGACTTACATTCTAATTTATTCTGGAATTTTTGCATCGTATTTATTCTACATGCATGATTCTTTAAGTTGAATTATGCATCTCAAAATATTTAAAAGATATTTTACCTATAATTTCAGATTTTTTTTATAAATTTTTCCCTCTTTTATTTCTCCCTTGCATGATTATTTTAATGAAAAATGTGGATAATACTTCTTCAGTCGTCCAAAAGTATAAATTTCTGAACGGATGTAATGATTTCAAGTCTCTGCTTGTAACTTAATGCTCATAATTTAGCTCTGCACTCTATAAAGAACCCTAAGTTACAGAATTTTTATTCTAATCGCAAGAGAAAAGAGAAAATTTTTTTGGGGCTTTTAGACTCTCATAAAAATGTCCCTGGAGCAATTCTCAAGAGGAACCCTTAAAGAATGCAATGTTGCACAGTCAAAAAATATAATTTCTTGTACTTTTCATTTTCATATCCAAGTTTCCTTTTTCTTTAAGACTCTTGCAAAACCGTAATTGATTTCACGTTTAGGAATTTAGATAGAATGTGTATCTAAAGTAATATCGTATGATAAAATTCTACTCAATGATTTCAAAACTACTTTCAAAGCTCCTAGAACTTCCCTCTTATTATTTAAATAAAGTAGGCAATTATCTCAAGAACCGTAGCAGCGTGTTTCCATCTATCGCATTGGCTCCACTGTTCCTTCTCTCCCAAAACTTGCAGTATATGTACTTGAAATTATATTTTACTAGGTTAAGACTCTTCTTATGCGATGCCACAAATACTTATTTATTATCATTGAAATATTTATTTCATATTAATTAATTAATTCTACACACATTCTTACACGTCCACTTTTACACCACACATACACAGACACACCTTGACAGACGCATACATGTTAATATATATAATGAAAATGAATTAAATTCATTATCTCTATGTAAATTTTAATGACGGATTTTTAAAGAATTAATTAACTATATGTACACTTATATATTACGAATAATTACTATAAAAAATATTTTTAGGGAATTGTTAACAGAGGTTTGCTTCCATTTAAAGTTATATTTTTCTATATACAGCATGATTACGTTAGCTCTAAGATTTTATTTACATTGAAAAGAGAGTGAACAGGAACTTTGAATTGCTTTGCTTTTTGTAGTAGAACGACGTAAGCTCAGCTGGACCTGAGATAGCCCTCTACCAAAATCTATCGTTTAATTGTAAGAGACTTTTTTATATTTCTAATGAAAACCTTAGATCATGGTTTGAAAATCCTTGTGGTTCCTGGTCGTATTCAGAGGAAATTTGATTTTAAGGTGGACTGACTTATTCCAGCGTAATAAAAGGTTGTGCTATTTTAATTATTTTAAATATGGACAAACTTTCAACTATGAAGGGGAAAGGGTTGATAAATTTGCATTTTCTTCAGAATTTCTTCGCTGACATTACTCATTTAGACATGCATTGTTTTAAAATTACTTATCTCCCCCAATTTAAGTTCTTAGTCCAATGTCTAAAGTGACAATGAATGTAAACAAATATCAAATGTTTTCTCCCTCTCCGCCTAACCCTTTTTCCTTTGTACCAATTATTATTTTTAGTCAAATTGAGAGAACGGATAGACTTTTTTTCACCACTTTTACTTGATAAATTTTCTGAAGAACTTAAAGTCTTTGACTTGAATATTCTAGAACTCCGCCTGTTTACCGAAATGCACTGTTGGCAACTGCGTTGCTGTGATGACATATTTTTAGAAATAACACTTATTTATAGTAAAAATATTTTGACTCTAATATTTATAATTACTTATCCTTTATCAATGTTTTTTAAATTCGATTGTCCTGGAGTTGCAACACTTTTACAACCAACTCAGGGCTTCTTTTTGTCAACACTTTCAGCTATTGCTTTTCCCAGAGGAAACAAAAAATTGACTAATTTTATCTATCGCCTTTACAAAGATAATTTGTGGAAGTAATAAGGGATAATGTAGTCAAAATCCTAGTTGCCAACATTACATTTGCCTACCCATCTGTATCAACATGGTAAATTGCCGAGAATTCCAAAATTGCAACTTTTGTATTTTTTAAAATTTTACTGAACCAATGTTTAACTGATAACTTATTGTACTGACTACATTCAAGTTTAAGCAAACCTCTGTTTTTAACATAACACTCATTTTTGTAGTATTTTAAACTTATTGCTTTCTTCTTCGTGGTCGGTCATTAGACTTGATTGATCTTGATTTTCGACTTCAACGACAGTTTTCATTGGATTCAAGTATGTTCTTCAAGGAACATAGCATTAAAAGACTTCAAATGAAAATTTGGTATCATCTTCCGTAGAAACTTCTTAGCCAAAATCAGTGCGCCCAAACAAAAATAATTTATATCGATTTTCGTTTTTAGGTATAGAAAGTTGCAGAAATACTAACATTTATGTTTTTTAGTGAAAACTTGAGGAGGGAAAATTCTGAGTCCAAAGTTTTATTCTCAATTGGACCAGGTTTATGAGGCAGCAACCAATCTACATTTTAAAAAAAAAGGAAATTGAGATAGTTTTGAGCTCAATTAGTTTTATACTTCTTCCTGTCAAAAATTTCCAGCAGAAGAAAATAGATTTGTTTGCAAAAAAAATGGGTTGAGATCTATCTCTTACGTCAACTTTCATGTAGAATGAAAGCCTTAAACCTCTTCTTCTCATTTACACCTTCCTAACTGTGAGTTCGTTCCTGCTAAACTCATTGTCAATTCATCTTCAACTCTCTCACTCAAAATTCCCTTTTAAATGTCAGATTTCTCGTCCCCCCTGCCCTTGATTTGAGATTATTTCTTAACAATGCTCCCCTCTGCCCCCTCTTTAAAGTTCAAAATGAGTTTAGCAAACTGAAAATTCAGTTCAATAATTTTTTTAAAACAATTTTCTTTCTGTAGAAGATAATAAAAACGAGGGAAAAATTACCAAGTCATAAAAGCCATAACTGGCTTAAGAATAGTCAACTCTAATAAACCCCTTTTCTAATGCCAATTTTCAACACATCTGAACTGATGCGTTCCATAATTCCTGTTATGTTGTCGGCTACATTACTTATGGTTTTTTTTGTGTTCCTTCTCTTTTAAATTCAACAAATATTAGGAATGTCTTTCTGACATTTAGTCTTTCACAAACCCACAATAAAAAATGTTAATTTTCGTCAAAGCATGAAAAATTATAAATTTTTATCAAAGCATACAAATTATTAATTTTTATCTAAGCAAAACAAATTATTAATTGCTGTTGAAACATGAAAAACTCTAATTCTGATTCTCTGAATCTTTGAATCAACATAGGAAAGCATTCACTCTTTCATTGACACAACGCAAAGTTTTTTCCTCTTTTATGTTTTCTTTACTATGCCTTTTTTCTTCTCAATTTGATAATCAGCATGGTAATTAGCATTGTTTATTTCCAAAGGCTAAGTAGAAAAATAAATTTAAGACCAAATACTCAATGAACTAATGAAATAGCTGGATAGGTCTATGTTTTTTTTTTGGTTCATAACAATAAGACGCCATCGTGCAGTAATTCCTAATCTGGCTTTTTGCAATGTTCTATTTAGGCATGCCAAACAAAATTAATCCCTTGCAACATGTCATCTGACATATTCTTTATATTATGTCATGAAAAAAGATCAAGAGAGATCGTTGTGTTTCAAGTTATTGAAAGCATTAACATCTTTAGCAGATCATCTGAAATCAGTGCTTCTTTTTGGATCTCTTAAAAAAACTAGGAACATGAATACGTTCTTGGGAGCGTTAGTATTAGGCATTGTGGGCATTAGCAGGTCATATCTGCATGGTTTAGGTCATATCTGCATGGTTTTAACAAGTCATTAACACTTGTTTGTTTCTGCAGCTTTCCAAATCTCCTCTGAAGTTGTACGCTCTTGTGTAATTTTCAAATTTACTGGAACAAAGCAATACTAATTTAAGGATGTAAATGTATAAAATATGCCTTTGTAAATGTGCATCCTTTTTATCTCTGCTTACATTTCTTTGTCTCATTCGCTTTAAACCTCCTTTCTTTCTTTCTTTTTTTTCTTGCGTTTTTGCCTGCACTGTGGTTCTCTTTCTCAGAAATAGTTGAAAAATAGCAGGATTTGATGTGGCCCATGGATTAAATGACAATGCAAAAGCCTTAATTTTTGGCCATGTGTGTGTATCCTTATGCTCTCGAAGCAGCCACCAAATGTCAAGTAAAAACTAAATGGGAAGGGGGTTAAGAAAGTAAGTTCCTCCTCAGCTCTAAATGTTCATCTTTGTAGGGAAAAGTAATATTATGACATCTCATAGTGACAGCAGGCCCCAATTCAAACAAATAATCTTGATTGCTGAAATAGTCAGCTACCAATCATTTAATAAGTGATGGGTCTGAACTTATGATGATCGCAATTTATAACAGACTGCCTATGCGTGGAAAAATAGCACTTTAAAAAAACCCAGCTGTTGTCAAGCTAAAATGAAAAATAAATTCATAAGTAACTTCAAAAACATGTCTGATTGAAGTTAAAGTAAGGTAAACCAGTTAGTTCTTCCATCAGTTCAATCATGATAATTTGTTTGCATTGATTCCAACAAGCTCCATGGATGCTCCAAGCTTATTAAATGGTGAAGCTAATAAGCGATGTAAAATGCCTTGGTGACTCTTTCCCTACAAAAATACCCTACACGGGATCGTAGCTTTTTCTTTTCTTCTCCTCTTAAATATTGAAATAAATATTCAAAACCATTCTGCACTTCTCATTATAATTTTTTGTAAAGTTTTGATTATCAAAACCTGTCCTCGGTCATAGAGTCATATCAGGATATTACTTTTCCAAAGTAAAACAAACCGTATGATTTGGCTAATTTACAACCTATTACTCAATTGAAAATGAAGAGCTCCGAATAAGAGTGTTTGATATTTTTGCTTTAAGTCTTCTTAACGCTCGCTGTATCTGAATGTATTCCCAGGTATTTGTGTATGATAATCCTGATTTTAATCTAGTGTCATGATATCACCATCTCGATCTGATGCTGCAAGCAAATTTCTCGGAAAATTGGTCTTACCATCGTTTAAATGTTTCTTGCTTACAGTTCACTGAAAGAAGACATCGCTTGCTTATAATTTTGTCTCCTATTTGTATGTGTTTTGTTTGCAGCTTTTTTCTGTGAGTTTGATTTGAAAATGGTATTCCTCTAGATGTAGTAGAATTGTCAATCGATCAATCGTATCCTAATTTTAAGAGCATTTTATTGTAAATATTCATAGTATATTCAATGCGTTCAAAATTTTCTCCGGATGTATCCACTCATTTATTCCGTGTCTTTTAGAGTGGCATGTCATAAAGATATTTATTACCGAGAATCGATTTAAAATCAAATAAATAGATATACCAACTTTCATTATGTTTTATTTTTCATTTATATCTCAGCCTTCTTTTTGACATAATCTTATGAAGCTTTTACCTTCAGATTGTTAATTATTTGTAGAATGTAATTTAAGTAACCAGGTTCTAACTGGGAACATACTTTAACAGTTAGCTTTTCATAATATGCGCATCTAACAAATACTGATTTTCAAGAATGGCTAACAATGCATCCTGAAATCATTCTTTCTTTTTTCAAGCTTTCCCCACAAAAGTAAGTCATTCCTGCGAGGTTAATCCATTCAACCTTTTGCTCCACATTGCATCAATCTACGGATCTTGAGAAGAAGTTGACGCCAGGGCCGGATTTACCNGGGGGGGGGGGGGGGGGGGGGGTGGAAGTCAAAACCTGTGAACCTCGATATCTCTTGAACAAAGAAAGATATCGAGGTCCGGTTTGGACAAAAAATCGTCTAAAATTACATACTTTAAGATTCTAAAGGTCGAAATCCCGATATCACATTTTTAAGTCAACATATGTGCTTTTTAGTGTATTTTCCGAAGGAAATACACTATTGCGTTTTCCAGTTTTTAGGTCTAGAAAATTTCTTTTAAACGAAAAATTTACAAAGATCTCAATTTTTTACTTGAACCAAAACCAGTTTTTTAAATTGTTCTTCTTTTTCCGCATTCAACGAGTGGTCCATTAAGCTGGGGAACCAAACGGTTCCGGAGTTATGATCGATTGAAGTTTCCGCTCAACGCGCGCCGACCGATTTTCGCGCGCAAAAAAGTCGGATTT